TCTAATAATATTTATTATATATTAGTAGGCACTTTGGCCAAATTTAAACACGATGAGAAAGCTTTTAATAAATGGAATTTTCGGACACGCCTGCGTCCTTTTCACACAGGCGAGACCTAAAAAATCGAGAAATCAAGGGTACTTTCAATTATTTTTTCAACTTTTATTTCTCTTCTCTATGGGGAGACTTGATATAGTAAAGATTAAACAAGAATTATACAATTTTAAATCTTTGGCGTGACGAAGTAACGACTTTGTATTAAAGACTATATATATATATATATATATATATATATATATATATTTTATGAGTCAACTTACACAAATATATAGTTTGTTTAAATTGATTATATTTGTACATTAACACATTAACACAAGTGTATAAGTACAAATATATAGATATATATTGTGTATATGACTATTTGCATAATCATTTCTCTAAATATGTATAATTGCCGGCTACTCGACTTCCATGCATACCAATTCTCTAGGGCGGCTTTCCAATCCCTGTTGCAGACGTCTGCTCAGGCATATTCATGTTCGTTCAGCACTCACGGAGTCAACCTCTGGTTTATATTGAAATTATGCTGAACAGACTATATATGTAGGTTTTGGGAGACAGCGCAAAATCATGGCCAGCCGTTTGGAACCAGGCCAGTACGCTCAAATTCTCGGTCACGATGACTAGTAACTTTGTGCTAGCACAAATATCGACGGCTTCCGAACATCTCTGTCGAAGCAATTTCGCGAACAAAGTTTGCATTAAACCTTTGGTATGGGTTTCAAGATCGCCGCACGCTAGAATGGTCCCCACCCCTGGGCCAATAAAATCAAGAAAACGCTGGTCACATGGTTGGAATGTGAGCGTTCTAACACCACTCAAAGAAGTGTGTGTGTATATATTCATATATATATATATATATATATATATTGGTTATATATATATATATATATATATATATATATATATTACTGACTTCAGTTCACTTTTGTTCTGATATTTTCATAATTTTCAAAATTATTCGTATTTTTCTTTTAATAAAAAATATATCTTTTTGTGCATTATGTTCATTATTTTCAGATTTTATTTGAAACGGAATTCTGTCTTCTTTAAAAATACTCCCTATATACTCTCTCTCTCTCTCTCTCTATATATATATATATATATATATATATATATATATATATATATATACATACATACATACATATGGACAGAGTACAATAGAAAAGAGATAGATAGATAGATAGATAGATAGATAGATAGATAGATAGATAGATAGAGAGATACGGCCATAGATCTATTAGGATATGCACAATAAACTGTAAAACTCCTCTGTTTGCTTACCAGTCAATGTGGATCTTCAATACCCAAATTAATGATGATAAACCATGATATTGCTGAAAGGCTGAAGAACACATCGGCTGGAACCACTGTCGCAGCAGCAACAAGATCAAGCACCAGTCTCAATAATCAGCGAAATTATATTTTATCAAAAAAACGTTAGCCAAAATAGATAATTTTAACATTCTATCTATCTATCTATCTATCTATCTATCTATCTATTGTGTCATATCTGTGATTTGTGTATTTGCTTCGAAGTAAAAATGAGGTAAATTTCTTATATATGTAGTGATACCATTATTATTGCGTGGGTGTGTACACATATATATATATATATATATATATATATATATATATATATATATGTGTGTGTGTGTGTGAAAGGACGAAAAGAATATAAATTCAAACGTTCATAATATTAATTAAAAAATGGGCACAATGCAAGAGTAGAGCAATAAATATTTAGTGTAAACTGTAACATTGAACAATGGAAGACGTCTCAGACATCGAAACAAATATGCATTTTTTTCGCCGTAACTTGCATTATTCTAATGTAACAGTTTTTAACACACACACACACACACACACACACACACACACACACACACATATGTATCTATATATATATAATCATAATTATTTTTTTTTAATAATTATAATTATAATTTAGGCTCTACTTATGTATCGAGCACTGTTTTTTTTTTTTAAATAAAAACAAAAATACTAAAGAACTTCAGATCATCAATCTAATGGTTATTTCTTATTTTATTAATATATTTGCATATATATATATATATATATATATATATATATATATATATATATATAAAAACAAAACAGGTCAGTATCTGTACAGGACATAGTTCGGTGTGTCTATGATAAACATCGCAAGTCATCTGCTTTCTTCAATAGCCATTATCAACTTAAAGAGAGCTACAATCATTAATCAAACTTGTCAGCGATGCTCGCAGTCGTTTAGAGATTCGAGCTGAATCATGTGTATATGTATCGACCTTTGTAACCTGGGTAAAGCTGCAGGCAAAGTCTGTGACCACATAGTAGAAATAATGCACTGAGTGGTCAACAATATCTGACAGACAGGAAAGTTCACTAAAAATTAGAAGGACACAATAACGCATCCTTTTTTTCATACATAAGGGCTTTAAGGAAATTTTGAATAGTTATAGAAGAATTCTTCATTCGGTGACATCCATGATGCAAATTTGAGTGACCATGCCTCTTTTAGATACATAATTGACTTGGCAGAAGAATTCCCGTAGCAGACTGCCTTTACTTTCTGCGGTAGACTTGTTGCCAACCAAGGCTACAGGACACTTTCTGCCTTTGCTAATTAATCCATAGATGGAGCGAAGTAGAGTTGGATTCATACCTTTCTGAAGGATATGTTTTTTCAAGTGTATCCTTTTGAGAAGATTGAATAGTTAAATTGCTAATGCTATTTTCGCAGAGTCACGATGCAGCTTTAAAACAAATAGACAAAAAATTTCACTGCCCACCTTAGTTTGTCAATCTCACTGGAACTTGCAAGGACAAGAGAAAGGCCTGTTTAAACATACGTGTGGAAGTACTGACTGAACCGTTTAAGGTTGGAAATGGCGTAAAGCATGGTAAGCTAATGGGATCACCACTCTTTTTGTATTCGCTTCATATGTATTCTAATTGATGCGTTTCAGCGTTGTATTCAAGGTATTAAGATTGAACACGGATAATCAGGTAAGCTCTTAAATATATGGCGATTGGATGCTAAGTGTTTTAATCTTAAATACGCGAATTTTTTTTTGCTGATGACTGATCTGCTATCACTTTAATTCTGGCAAATGCAAGTGGTCGTATGCAAACACCGGCAATCCTGGAAAACAAATATGTCTTACCATAAAGTTTGGACAAAACAAATCGTTGAGTTTCAACCGGCCACATGCAACTCCTCTAAGGAATCGTCTCTTTTCATTGATGGGAGTAAAATTGTCGAGAAATTCCCTTATCTTGATAGGGTAATTAACCGCTACTGCTCTCTTGCTGACGAGATTGTGTTTGGAATTAAAATAGATGCACACGCCTTCAGTGGGGTCATGGGCCTAAAAATATTGATTGAAAGGAGACAAACGGAACCCACCTACAGTCAGAATGCTATCATTTAATTTTATTAACGAATAAATAAAATTCTCAAAAATTCACCTAGGGAAAAAGGGTGCAGCTAAATTTTTTGTATAAAAATGTGTATTTCTTAGTAATTACAATGTGCATATTACTGGCAGTAGATAGCAAATGTAAATACAGAATGTTATAATTGGATTTTCTATACTATTTACATTATTCGGACTAATGCCCTCATCTCTGTCGCCATATTTATTATAACGTTTTGGCCGTTGTACGCTCCGGCCTTCTTCAGGTGGTTGGAATGTCGAACAGAACACTTTATTTCGCTCACTGGGGTAGACTGTTCTAGTTCCACGGTCAGTTATCCCCTGTTAATTCACACTCTTTGGGTCCTGTCACTGGATCTAACCAACGCCTTTATCCACTGTGCCATGTGTCTTTAAGGACGTCTGTGTATGAATTTCTGGGTATTATAAACCTAATGTCATCAGCAACCGTTTTTTTTTACCAGTGCTCATATTGTAATTTTTGCTGCTAACATTCATGTTTTTACCAGAGCTCATATTGCAATTTTTATTGTTATCGCTTTTCTCTGGTACTTATTACTGGTTCCCATATTGTATTTATTTCTATGCTTGTTGCAATCGGCCATTAATTACTTCTGCTTCCAATTTATTTAACAATTCCTTTTCAGTATATAATTCTAACTTCTCTTCAGACATTTAACCTTGTTTTTATTATCTTTAACTGCGAAAATGTTTTCCCGCATTGGACTTGAGTAACTGATAATGTTCAAATGATTCTATAAAGTACTTATTCATTTTTATTCCTAAAACAGTTGCCTGTGTTTGTTTCTTTATTGCATTTTTATTTGATATTGAGGGCCCACTTCACAAGGGGACAATTTGCCATCGGGCAAGCTGACACCCTGGCTCGTGCATCTCTTTTGCTTTTCGAAAAAGTCGTGTGGGATGGAGAATAAGAATAAAGAAAGATCAGCGTATCCAATGCAATGTGTTTGAACGGGTCTTCTTTATTCATGTGAATCTTGGGTTATCTCCCGGAGACAGATGAAAACGCTGGGGGTCGGGGTTGGGGGCTTCCTTCAGCGTTGTCTTTGAAACCTCTTGGTAATTAATGCTTTATTTCACATAAACATTTAACATGACCAACGAGCTCAGGTACGGACCACCGAACGATCAATGGCCTACAAATTACGGTCTGAAATTATCGATCTTAACGCTTGTTCATTTTGAATATCCCATCATCATCATCATCATCATGCAGCCGATAATCCATTTTTATATTTATAACAGATTAAGAACTTAATTAACCGATTTACGACGAAAACACTTCTTCCATTTATCTATCTCCGTGTTGCATCTTTTTATTTATAACAGACAATAACAACATCTATCTATCTATCTATCTATCTATCTATCTATCTATCTATCTATCTATCTATCTATCTATCTGTAGCAGTCTATTTATATCTATCTATCTATCTATCTATCTATCTATCTATCTATCTATTCCTTACGGTCAAATCACTCTGAAACACCAGTTCTCGTGCGATCACAGAAGTTAAGCAACTTCGGACCTGGTCAGTACCTGGATGACCGCTTGGGAATACCGAGTTCTGTAAGTTTGGATGTCCGACTTTCAATTTCAGTTGGGTTCGTTATATTCACTTAAGTGCAAATAGCATTCGAAAAGATATGGATCCATCTCTTTTCCACCCAACTATGGGTTAATTAGCAAGATTTGTATCACTGGGAGGCACGGTGGAGAGCCGAGTTCGAATTCCAGTCGAATCCATTATATTTACTTACGTGCTAATACCCTTGAGAAAGTTATAAATCCTCTTCTTCTCCCTCCATCTATAGGAAAATAAGAGGATAGACCGGGTTCTATACCCTTGGATGGTAACTCTTCTACTGCAGAAAGAAATGGCAACCTACTTACGGGAAAAATCTGCCCCATCAGTCATGTATCGAAAGATACATGATGGCCTAAGCGTGTATCACGCATGACACATCACTGACTGACTGCATAACTAAATCATTTTTATTTTTAAGAGAAAAAATCGTACAATCTAAAATATTTTCTGGCTTGGAATAACCTGCAAAGGTTGATAAGCCGTAGAAAACAAATCTATCTATCTATCTCAGTTTCCGAAAAAATGCATATATGTGCCAGAGCAATAATTTTGAAAGACGATTCCTACACAACTAGCAGTAAGAACAATGCCTTTTGAAAAAAATCGTGGCTTCATTTTCGCTCCCATTTTGCTCATAAATCTAGCCTATTAGGCGAATATCATGAATAACTAATAAAACACTTAAAGGGCAAAAAACAAAAACAAAAAAAAAGAATCGAAATGAAACGAAATACAAATAAAAATAAATAATGAAATAAATTTAAATGAATAATAAAATAAATAAATAATAAATTAAATAATAAAATATTATAGATAAATAAATAACGATTGGATCTCGCGATGAGAGAACGGATATTTATAGCGTGAACTGAAAGATTCACAACGAGGCTCTTTTGCGCTTAAAGATATTTTTTCATTAACGTGCCAACTGTTCGTTTTTTTTTTGTGTGTGTCGGGTAAGGGTGAGGGAATATACTGTCTTTCATTTATTTATTTATTTATTGCTTATTTATCTTAAATATCATGAGTGCGGGTCAGTAGCTAAGCCTTGACTCAATATCATGTTGCGTTTAAATCCTCCCATTCGTCAAACGAAGGATCTTTACAGACAATCTAATGGCTAGAAAGACCAGTTAATCGGGTGTCAAGAGCTTTGTCTTTAGATTCGTTCCTTGGTGGTATTTTTTTTCTTCTTTTTTAACGTTTGGGTGGGTGGTTAATTACCTTACCGTATCACTGTCGATATTTTTTGTTTGTTTGTTTAGAAACTAGAATAATTTTCCTTAACCATTTTTAGAGAGATGAAAAACAAAATCTTTGGGAACAGCACGTCCCCGCTCCCGAAAAGAATTTAACGATATTTTCTTTTATTTTTCTTCACTCGCTTCACAAATTGTTTGGACAAATTTTAGTTAAAGTTGTGAAGAATTTTGAAATACAAATTTGAGAGAGAGAGAGAGAGAGAGAGAGAGAGAGAGAGAGAGAGAGAGAGAGAGAGAGAGAAAGACACCCCCCACAAAAAAGAAAGTTAAATAAAAACGAGTACTCAATTTACTAAGGTTAGCTTAGTCTGCCGCAAGGCTATAAGTATGAGACATTCAATGAATAATGAAGTCCCTGTGGCAGTGAGCGTGCTAACTTAGGCAGAATATTTTTGAAAGAAAGAAGTCGCCACTATGTGCAAAGGAAAGAAAGAAAGAAAAAGGGATGTGATGAGAAAGACAGAATGATGTGAAAGAAAGATGTGAAAGAAGAAAGAAAGAAAGAAAGAATGAATGAATGAATGAATGAATGAATGAAGCGATGTGATGAGAAAGATGTGTAAGAAAAAAAATGAAGGTTGGGAGAAAAAAAGAAAAAAGAAAAAAAGAAAGAAAAGAAAAAGAAAGTTTGGGAGATTTTAAATATGGAAGAAATGTAAAAAAAAAGGAAAGAAATGATGTGGTATGTAAGAAAACGAAAGATCTAAAAGCAAAAAAGTGATGTTAAAGAAAAAAAGAAAAGAAGGGACACATATTGTGTGAATAAAGAAAGAAAGAAACAAACTGAGAGAAATATGAAATAAAGAAGAAATGTAAAAGAAAAAAGAAGGAAGCAAACAATGTCGTGGGAAAGAAAGCACGGAAAAATAGAAATGAAAAAAGGATATGTTGAGAAACAAAGGAAAGTTTTGAAAAGAATAGATGAGAAAGAAAATATATCAAAGAAAGGAAGATTGACGTTATATGAATAAAGAAAGAAATAAAGAAAGAAAGAAAGGAAAAAAGAAAGAAAATATATTTGAAATAAAGAAGAGATGTGAAAGAAAAAGAAATAAATAAAAGATACGGTTTGAAAGAAAGAAAGAAAGAAAGAAAGAAAGAAAGAAGAGGAGACTTGGGGCTATCACGAGAACGTATTGGATTTATTTGATGGATAGAGTTCTCCTTAATATGTAGGCAGCGACTAGGAGGACTTTCTTGTCTCATAATGTTGCCAGTAGTGTTTCAATTTCTATTTCTGCATTCTTATATTTAGAAAATTTTTTTGTGGTAGTTTCCAATGAGGTGTTTCCTTTCGAGGGGGATAGACATGTTGATGAGCAAACAAATTATTTCCTTTTTATCCTTCACTACAACATCAAGTCTGTTAGACTTTAAGTTCTTTATTATTTTCGATTGGCACATCCCAGAGAATATTAGCTTCACCATTTTCTCTTACAATTGATAGTACATAGTATTTGTCGTTGATTCCTTGATTTTGATATTATTATTATTATTATTTTTATTCTTTGATTTCTGGCGTTTACACATTTCTTTCCGGGTCCCGCCTAGGGACCTAAGATTAGAAATGGCATCATGACACTTTCCACTGACAAAAAAAAAAAAAAAAAAAATCATAGACAAAGCCCTTCGTAAAGTGTGGGCTGTACTTGTCAGAACAATTTTTTGTATCTCCTTGAGGCATGGACTTCCAGGAATCTCTTCAGTTAGTCTACTGCAATCTTTTCCAACCAGTCCTAGGGCTCCAACTACAACAGGGATTGTTGATGTTCCCATATGCCACATTTTCGAGATTTCTATTTCAAGGTCCTTGTATTTTGACAACTTTTTGAATATCTTCAAAGATACATTGCAGTCAGCAGGGACTGCCATATCAATAAGGAGGCACCGTTTTTGTTTGTGGTCTTTAATAACAATATCCGGGCGGTTGGCCTTGATTGTTCTGTCAGTGTGTATTGTGTAGTCCCATAGAATTTTAACAGGTCCTATCTCCGTAACCGGGTCTGGGTGGTGTTCATACCAGTTTCTTTCAGTTTCCTTCCCGTAGAAGTTGCAGATTTTCCAGTGCAGATATTGGCCCACTCTGTCATGTCGGGTTTTATATTCAGTGGGTGCCAATATCGTGCAACCTGATACAAGATGATCAATCGTTTCTGGATATTTATCACAGAATCTGCATTTTGGGCTGACACAATATTTTAGTATATGTGCTTGATAATTCCTAGTTAGCAAGCATTGGTCCTGCGCAGCAAGGATAAAACCTTCAGTTTCCGCTTTCAACCCTGCACTACGTAGCCACTGATGGGTACGGTTTTGTCTACGTCAGCTTGTTTGGTACGGGCAGAGTATTGGCCATGAAGCGGTTTATCTTGCCATCGCTTCTGTAACTGGTCGGTTGCATTCGTCTTTGCTGTCTTTTTTTAGGTATTTTGCAGTTTCAGCCGGTGTATTGTGCTGTAGTTGCATCTCTACGCCCATTTGAAACTCTATTTTGAATTTGTTGGCTTCTTTCATTACGGAGTAAAGACGTTTACTACTTTCATCTTCCTTGACGCATACCATCATCCAGTCTTCTGTAGTTTCCAAGTATCTTTAGGGGCCAATTGTTGTAGTTTTGTAGGACAGTTCTAGTTGAACTAATCCTCTGCCTCCTTCCGGTCTGGGAACATACAGACAATCAACATCAGCTTTGGGATGATGCATGCGATAGCAAGTGAGAAGCTTTCTCGTTTTGGCGTCCATTCGCTTAATTTCAGCTATGGTCCAGTTAAGGACATTAAAGCTGTATTGCACCACAGGGACAGCCAATGTGTTTATGGCTGATATTCTGTTTTTTGAGTTTAGCTCAGTGTTTAGTACCAGACGTACACGCCTGTAGTATTCTTTTCTTATTTTTTCCTTCATTTGGGGGTGTTGTATACCATCTCCTTCGCTAATGCCTAGGTACTTATAAGCTTCATCATGCTCCAGTTCCCTAATCTTTGTGACAAAATATAAATCTATTAAGGGTGTTTCTGTAATTCTATCTTTCTTGAAAGTTACTTTTGCACATTTATCTAATCCGAAGTCCATACCTATGTCGTCACTGAAGTATTTTACAATATTGAGGAGGCCTTTCAACTCATTGTCGTCTTTGGCAAAGAGTTTGAGATCATCCATGTAGAGTAGGTGATTGAATATTTTCTTATTTATTTTGTAACCATAGCTACTGTTGTTCAGTTCATGTGTAAGAGGGATTAAGGATAAACAAAACAGAAGGGGTGACAGAGAGTCTCCTTGAAAGATTCCACGTCGGATATTCAGACGGTTGAATATGGCAGTGCCCCCGGTGTGACTAAGGTATAGTTTGGTGTTCCACATTCCCATGCTGTGCTTAAGGAAATTTGATACCACAGGGGAGACTTTGTACATTTCCAAGAATGTGGAACACTATCAAAGGCTTTACGATAATCAATCCACGCTGCACGAAGATTTCTGCGTCGTCTTCTGCAATTTTCCAGGATCATTTTATTTATCAGGAGTTGATCCTTGCAGCCATATGAACCTCTTCTGCATCCCTTCTGTTCCAGCGGGAGAGTTCTGTTTGTTTCGAGAAAGAAATAAGTACGGTTCGTCAATACAGACGTGATCAACTTATACGTTGTGGAGAGACATGTTATAGGTCTATAATTTTTCGGGTCGTCTGTTTCAGTTGTTTTTGGTATGAGGTGTGTAATACGTTCA